CCAGTGGCCCCCCGCCGCCCCCCTCCCCCTTCCCCGCTGCTGGGGACAGCGGCTCCCCCCCTCCACAGTTGTCTCTCCCCACATCCCCGTGTCCCCTGCTCCTGTCCCCCCGCCCTGAGTGTCACACGAATAAACACCGACACTGAACTAGCGCTGGCTCAGCATCCCTGTCTCTGTGTCCTTCCAACGCCCCCGCTCCCCCCGCGCCGACCAGCAACCCCCCAGTGGCACCAGTGTGGAGGAGGGTGGGATGGGAACAGACACGCGTGCGCGCACACATTGCCGGGAGTGCCCAGAGCTCCCTGCAGCCCTTGCCTGCCCCTGCGGAGCCCGCTGAGCCCCCCTGGCACCGCCAAGACCGGGGGTGAGCAGCCTGGGGCATCAGCCTGGTCTAAACTCCCGTGCTGGTGGCAAGCACATGGCCATGGCTGTGCCAGCCTTGTCCCTCGCCCGCTGGCCTCTGGGCACCAGGTCATGTGGCTTGTGGTGGGGCCATGCCCAGCTGTGTCCCTTTGCTGGCCAGCCCTGGCTGTGTCCCCATTTCCTTGGTCACCCCTGTGTCCCCTGGGATGGGGGTGCCAATGCAGCCATCGGGGCATGCACATGCACCACTCTGCCCCTTGCACCCTGTGCCACAGCAGCCTGGACCCCTGCGTGTCAGATGCCCCCATCCCCGGCACAGCCCAGGGAAGGTTCCTTGTGGCCCTGCAGATAGAGCGACTCACAGCCACAGATGCGCCGAGAGCGCCAGTGCTCAGCTGCAGGTGCCCCATCAGAGCTGGCAGGAGGCACCCCGGGAATAGGGGGTGGGAGCACCTGGCCACACTGTGTGCCATTCTGGGGGAGACACCCCCTCCCCAGCCTCTTGGCAAAGGGGGGACAGCCCCACCCCATCCCTCGCCCTGGGCTGTGTCGGTGCCAGTGGGGTGCCTGGCCCCACTAGGCTTTGGGTTGCCACGTGTCCCTGCAGGCGCCTTCTGGGGGCACAGAATCATAAAATCACAGAATGGTTTGGGTTAGAAAGAACCTTTAAAGGTCATCTACTCCAACCCCTCCTGCAATGAGCAGGGACATCTTCCACTAGACCAGGGCCTTGAACACCTCCAGGGATGGGGCAGCCACAGTTTCTCTGGGCAACCTGTTCCAGTGCCTCACCACCCTCAGAGTAAAGGATTTCTCCCTCACATCTAGCCTAAATCTCCCCTCTTTCAGTTTAAAACCATTACCCCTCGTCCCATCACTACACCCCCGATAAAGAGTCCCTCCCCAGCTCTCCTGTAGCCTCTTTAGGTACTGGAAGGCCACAGTAAGGTCTCGCCAGAGCCTTCTCTTCTCCAGGCTGAACAACCCCAACTCTCTCAGCCTGTCTTCACAGGAGAGGTGCACCAGCCCTCGGATCCTTTTTGTGGCCCTCCTCTGGACCCACTCCAACAGGTCCACGTCTTTCTTTCCTGTGCTGAGGGCTCCAGAGCTGAACATGGAACTCCAGGTGGGGTCTCCCCAGAGCAGAGCAGAGGGGCAGAATCCCCTCCCTCACCCTGCTGCCACGCTGCTGGTGACACAGCCCAGGGTACGGTTGGCTTTCTGGTAAAAGGGTCGGGGACAGCCCCACCACAGCCCCCTCCCTGGGCTGTGATGGTTCCAGCGGGGCACTCAGCCCCACCAGGCTCTGGGTTGCCATGTGTCCCAGCAGGAGCCTTCTGTGGACACCTCTCAGGGCACAGCGGGGGTGACCAGACCCTTGGGAGCCTGTCCATGGGAGTGACCCACTGTGAGGCACAGATGTCAGCCCTACTCAGGGCAGCCCCTGTGCCTGTCCCAGGGACCTCGACACCCCACCACCACCATGGCTCCTCCCTGCCTCCAGCGGGCAATTCGGTGCCCAGGGAAGGCCGGGGGCCAGCCAACACCTTCACTATGGGATGGGCGCTCACCGCATTGGCCTTGCTTTGGGCAAAGCCCCCAGCAGCCAGCAAGGAGAAAGGACCACTCCGTGCAGCGCTGTGTGTCCTCCCTGCTGTGTCCATCTGTCCTGTCCACACCAGTGCCTCGGTCCTGTCCACCTCAATGCCTCCATTTATCCTGCCCACCCCAACGCCTCCATCCGTCCCACTTATCCAGATGCCTCCATCCATCCTACCCATTCGAGTGTCTCCATCCATCCTACCCACCCCAATGCCTCCATCCATCCCGGCAAACTCTGGGAGCTGCCCATCCCAACTCTTCAGTGCTATTTTTTACCCAGCCATTCAGCAACCACTTGAGGATTTCTCAGGAAACGAAGCCAAAACTAAACCAAAAATCTTCTGCCAAACTCAAACTATGAGACAAGATCCAAGGGGGCAGTTTCTGCTCTCTGCATTGTTCCTTGTCTTGCAAAATATCTACAGGAGTGGAGCCTCCTGGGGAACAAGCAATGCAGCAGCAACCCCAAACCTGCCAGGAAAGCAAATACCAAAGAGAAACTTTGAGTGGAATTAAGTTTCTTTCATCCATCTCTTGCTTACATAGACATGCCAGGGTGGGCGCTGGTGGCCTGGACATAGCACTGGTCCCGCTGATGGCAAAAGGAGCCCTGTGTCCCCCAAGCGCTGCTGGGGACCTCCCAGCAACAGCAACAGTGTTTTAGCATTTCAGAAGACTTTATTCTGATGGGAAGATGCTGCTAATTACCCAGATGAGGTGCTTTTTCTAGCGTGCGTTTCTGCTGGGTGTGCAGCTCTCCAGCCAGCTCTGGGTCCGCAGTCACAGCCGCAGCACCAGCCCAAAGCTCACGGTTGGAGCAGCATCCCTGTCTCCGTCCCCATCCTTCCCCATTGCTGCTGGAGTCAGCAGCTCCCCGCTCCATGCTGTCCCCGTGTCCAAACCACTCTCCCCTGCCCTGCCCATGTCCCCTGCACCCCGGGGTCACCCCAACAAACAACCCGCAGAGCTCTGCATGGATGGCCATGTCTCCTGCACCCCCCACCCCATGCCAGTGTTGTCTCCACGTGCACTAAAATCAACTTTTGCCAAGCAGCAGGGCTGTTCGTGGCTGCCATTTCTCTCTCGCTGCCCGGTGAACCCGCAGCCCCTGGGGACGGTGGAGCACTGGGACGTGCACTGAGTGCCTCAGGCCTCTGCCAGCTTGTCTCCCTGCCCGCGTGCCACCAAAGGGGCTCATCCCGGCCGGCGCAGGCGGGGGGTCAACCCCCGCAGCACAGCCCCACTGTGACCCCCAGCAAAGTCTCACCCCTCACTGTGCCTGAGGCCACCCCGGGGTACCCCGCTCTGGGGCTGGGGGGGTTTCCCTGGCTGTACCAGGCGTTTTGTTCTCTCTGGGGGACAGCTCAAATCTTCCACAGCACCCCGAGTGGCTCCAGGGATGCCTGCCAGCCCTGCGGGGACGTGTGCCAGCCCTGCGGGGGCCGTGGGCACTGTGCAGTCCTGGCAGGGCACAGACAGGAGGGGCAGGGGGAATCATGAGCCCTGGTCTGCCCCGGCTCTCCTTCCCTCCTGCTTTTTGGCAGCGCGCTCGCAGCAGGGCCTGGACCCCACCAGGGTTTTAGAGCCAAGAGGCTCTAAAACAACTTTGTTGGCTTTATTCTGGCATTATTCTGCTCTCCCACCATGCAAAGGAGACCCTGCCAGGGCACAGCCCCGTGCACGGGGCAAAACCCCTTCCCAGCACCTGGAACATGGGACTGGGCTGATGGAGGCAGTTCCAGTGTCCCTGCCCATGTGTGGGGTGACAGGCTCGGGGTTTTCCCAGGAAATCCCGTCCCAATGGAGCAAACCCATGCTCCATGGATCACAGCCCCTTGGGGTGCGCTGGTGTCTGTGCCCACTGGCACTGGGATGGAGCCAGCAGCGGGACAGATGCTCAGCCCGCGTGGCAGCAGGGGAAGGAAGGAAGGGCAATGGAGGCATCTGTCCTGCTGTGTTTCACGATGAGCTCCTTTAAGACACAATTTCCTGGGCAGAGGTACCCCACAGTGGCAGAGAGGCACCAGAGTTGGTCCTGGGGGCTGCTGGGCTGCAGTGCCTGCTGTAGGGGGTCCGGGAGGTGAGGGTCCCCAGCTCAGCTCACTGCTGGGGGACATGGACTCAGAGATACCACCAGCCCCTCCGGCCTGGCACTGAGCTCCTTGCCACGCTCAAATGAGGTTATTTCCTGGCAAACCCTGCCCGCAGCATCCTCATCCCTGGCCTCATGGTGCTGCCAGGGCTTTCGCCCAGGAGAGCCGCTTGCCTGCGTTTCTGCCAGCCAAAAATGCCCCAAGGACCGACACCTGCTGCCAGGAAGGATGCTCGCTTTTTTTTTTTCTTGCTGAGAAAGCTGATGAAGCCTCAGTAATTGTTGATTCCAGTAGTTGGTAAATCACACCTTCAAGCAGTGGTTGAAGCTGGAGTGAATGACGGGTAACACAGCAGCCCCCCTCCCCGCCACGCTGCCGGGTTTGACCCCGCCAAATGCCACGCTGGGGAGGGGGGGCGGCTGGTGGGGAGGGGGGCAGCACGCTTTCCACGGTGCTTGAAATCCATCTTGACATGCCATGGGCAAAGCCTGTCCTTTGGTTACAGGACACCAGACTGAGCTTTTCATGGGCTCAGTTTGGGGCAGGTGCTGGTGGGCACGGGCTGGGGGCAGGTCTCGCTTCGGCTCAGGTCTGGGCGAGTAGAGCACAGGCACATCTCCAGTTCCGGGGGCAGGAAACCTCACTAATTATTGATTAAAAGATTTTGCTAAATCCTTTCTGTAAGCAACAACTGGTAAGGAAAAACCTGCTGAATTATAGATCAGTGCTCCCCCCTCCCCGGACTCCCATACTCCCGCAGCATGGTGAATTTTCAGCCACATTTTTACCCATAATGAGCCCTTCAACGGGACTAGAGAGCCGCCACTGGGACTCACATTGGGATGCGGGGCCTGATCCGTCCCGCAGAGGGGAGGG